AACTAGTGAGTAATACGGCTCCCCTGTAGCATCACAACACCCTCTGACTAGTGAATACTACGGCTCCCTGTAGTATTACAACTCCCTCTCTCTGACTTGTGAGTACTACAGCTCCCCGTAGCATCACAACACCCTCTGACTAGTGAATACTACGGCTCACCGTAGTATCACGACCCCTTCTCTCTGACTTGTGAGTACTACGACTCCCCCGTAGCATCACAACACCCTCTCTCATCACCCCATTATCTCATTCTCATTACAACACCACACTACATGCTCTAACTCATGCTTCGCAGACTATCATAGATAGCTACACACACTTGACCCAAATATGCATCACAGACTTTGAAGGCAACCGCCATAACAAAATACCTTCCCTTGCTGAGATCCACATTCTTAAATAATCCCTCCTTACGAGCCTTTTACTTGGAACGACCCTAACCACTACCAGGTTCCTGACCATTGACCACATGCTATGGAGACACTCATCCTTTCTCAGTCACGTACCAGATGTATCATCTTGCTCTGTACCTCTCCTCGATCACCAATAACTTCGGTCTCATGAATTTATACCTCAAGTCTCTAAATCCCACTTCCTAACCGCTCTTGAACAAATCTCTACTTCCTTCAATACAATACCAGGTTCTCCCCCACTTGGGGTTCGAACCATCATCAATTGGCGCACAAACCGTCCTACAGACTGTTTCCACTAGCAATATCGCACCTGCCCTTGGAAGGTGCTACGCAACGCCCGATAATCTCCTTTAAAGAGATCAAGCAACCTCAAATACTCTGAATCTCAGATGAAATCTCAGGAACTTCTCATCACGACTGCCTCTAGTCGTTCAAAGTCTCATACCATCCCAATATCGAATATCTCAACTGTCCAGTAATATCACTGACTCTTAGACTGAAGCAATAAATCATCATACTCCTCAACCTCGACATCTCAACCCACGTTCCAACACATGAATCATCACAAGAACAGGGACTTCACTCCCATACTCAATACCCATCATAGACAGAAGAGCCACCGCCGTGATATACTTGTCTGGATTACCCGCTGATACCGCTACCACACGCCTTACTATACTCAAATAGGGTGCAACGTGGTCCTTGACCACCTCAGTCCCAACCGACTACATGCTCATGATATATCCTTACCTCACAGCAGACATGGTGCCTGATATTCTGGTGGATAGCCGACATAAATGTCAATCCGCAGGGTTTTACTCCTAAACCCCAAAACCGAAATCTCACAACTCTTATGTTTCCTACTAGAAACAGAAATAGCACCACTCAGATCACAGAAGGTGACATCTCTTCTATCGGCTGGTTGCTCAACTTAGATCGCAATCCCCCATAAACGTTATTTCTACTTATCTTTGAGTTTCGCGACTACATCTGACATCTTACCAAAATACTTTGAAATGCTCTCGACCTCCCTCTCAAGGGATGCCTCTTCGGACTCAATTATGGCTTTCAGGCCTAAAACCCCATCGCATCTAATTTCTACCTAATCAATCATGACCGGATAACCGGAGAACCACAAGCGTCATTTTCTATGAACCATGGTACTTAGCCCATGACATCTCTTCTCAATCTACTACGATGTATGGTACTCGAACCATAACATCACCCCTCAATCTACTAAGATGCATGGTACCCGAACCATGACATCACTCCTCAATCCGCTATGATGCATGGCACTCGAACCATGACATCACTCCTCAATCTGCTCTGATGTATGGTACTCGAACCATAACATCACTCCTCAATCTGCTCCGATGTGTGGTACTCGAACCATAACATCACTCCTCAATCTGCTACTTAGAACCTTCAGGATACTCCCAATATCGAGTATGGGTCCTCTGCTTTCGGTAGTACGGGCCCATACTACCTACCACATCTACCCATAATTTCCACACGGACCATCCCAGAGCTTCTAAGTAGCTACTCAACCTTATCGTTCACTAACTACATTACGCGTGCTCGCTCCTCAGCAAAAGGCTATACTCTTCCAGCATACTCACCTGACTAAGGTTACTCCATAGGATCTTCCTAGGTTCTCACACTTCTCCGCCATCAGCTACTGAAGAGCTCCTAATGATTCCAACCATCTACCTCCTGAATATCATCATATTCACTTAGTAGCTGACTCCCATCATCGAGAGTTCCACAAACCATGAAGAAAGCAGTATTCGGGCATCGAAGCCTCTCCTTCAGCACATAAAACCTCTTTAGATTATTATCCACTCGCTTTCCTCATACTCGAAGGATATCACCGAACTCTAACAACTTCGTCCCACATGGCATCTAGCTACCCTCTTGGCATGCTCCTCCTATGCTCATATAGACACCTCTTCTAGATTACTCCTCTACTTGAATCCCCTAAAAGTATTCCTGCTGAACACTCTTACTCAACACATACTCGAAAGCACGTCACATATAATAGCAACTCCTAGGCTAAGGCATCACAAATCAGGCCACTCTAGTCCTAAAATATGAAATACCTAGCCTGTCTCTAGCATGCATAATATCTCATAAAATGTCTCATAAATATCTCATAACATAAAAGTAAGGGTATTTTAGGAAATCACCGTTTGGGCTCTGGCTGATTGTACACACTGCTCTTTCTCGTTTTCTCTTTGAACTCTTATTGGCTTTAGAAAAATCATTTCTTTGAAAACCTTTTCTCAATTCCTTAGTTTGAGTCCAGATTTACCCAAAGGTGCATCCGAATCCCTCAAACCAAGGCTCTAATACCAACTTGTAACACTGAAATTTTTTCAAAACTAAAATTTTCATTTAAAATCGCTTAATCTTAAAAAAATTTCGTAAAAATCTCATTTTGATTAAATTACAAAACAAAACTCCATATTCAATTAAATAATAATCTAGGATCCTCAAAAACATAATTCTTCCTCTGGTGTGTACAATCAAGCCGGTGTCGTCCCGCGATCCTGAGAGAAACCTGAAACACATAACATAAAACACATAACACAGTAAGCATGAAGCTTAGTGAGTTCCCCAAAATACAACATACAACACATACGCCTTTCCAGGCCATAAGTCTATGGGATCTTCCGATCCAAGTGTCTCAGGGGATTTCCATCCCATAAATCTGTTGACCTTCCGGTCCATACTTTTTTGACCATCCGGTCCACATCATCATACTCATATCATAACGTATTACCTATACAACATACATCACATATTCATCATACACATAAGACCTTTTGGTCACACATAATTACCCCATTGGGTAAGGCATAGTGAGAAGACTCACCTGGCAAACTGAAAGCGATTATCTTTACACTTGAATCTCGGACTCGCCACTGCCTAACACATAAGGAAAATATCTATAATTAATACTCGAAGTCTCAACTCTAATTAAATCGGTGATTAATCTTTCCCTCTCTAATCGGGTAGTGGGTAAAAGGCCATTTTACCCCTCCAAGGTCTCTATCACTTATGTGGACCAATTTTCAAAGTCAACTGAAGTCAACGGTCAACTCTGACCAAACTCGTCGAGTACACAAGGGTGACTCGGCGAGTCCATGTGTGTCTCCTGACTCCTCCAAGGCCTCACTTGACTCGTCGAATGAACCTTCCACTCGACGGGCTTCCACTGGATTCGAATCGCGGGGCAACCCGACTTAACTCGTCGAGTCTTCTCATGGACTTGGCGAGTTGCTCCCATGACAACACTCATCTGACCTTCTGAGGTCAGATCTGATCCTCTAATCCATAGATCTGGCTTCCTTACGACCAATAACCACGTAAAGGTCGAGGCTTGACATACATGCAAAGCTCACAAGGCTTTCCTTGGAGAAATGGCTCCTAAAATGGCATCAAAGTCTCATTCCCTCAATGAACCAACATAAAGCATACAGAATAAGGCCTTATGGACCTCTATAGGTCCAGATCTGTGATCTCTCACACAAAGGGACCCCATACTCATCACTACAAGCCATAGAAAGGTGTAGAAACCCTAAAATCACCAATCTTAACCAAAACAGAAAAGGGAATTCGATTTGATACCTCTACAGTGAAGATACAAGCTTAGGAACTCTGAATCAAAAACTCCCTTGACCTCCCTTTGCTGGAAATGACTTCTCCCTTGCAAAATCACAGCAAGAATGCTCAAAAGGGCATTATCTCTCTCACTCTTCGCTCAAGCTCTATAGAGTATCTCTCTCTGGATTGGTAGCCACACAAGAGGGCTATAAGGTCCTTTAAATAAGGCGCTTACTCGGCGAGTCCAGATACCTGACTCGTCGTGTCCCTTCATTAAACAGGTCACAAAATCGCGATCCGACTCGACGAGTTGAGGCGTCAACTCGCCGAGTCTCTTTATATCCCAAAATAAAATACTCAAATTTCCAAGCCTGGATATCTGGATGTTACAGTTTAATATCTTGAGCATTATCACCTATATTATGTTCTTAAGTTTTGCCAAGTTTCCATCTTAATACCCAAAAAAATACCTCCTCTGCCAAGTGTAGTAGGTTATTTTTCAATTTTATATTTTTGGCTCAAATTTTATTTTTTGTTACTATCTTCGTCAAAACATTTTGAACTTTTATTTTCGCGCCAAAATTAGTTTTGTTTATGAATTTATTTTGACAAAATTGCAAGAATGGTCCCTGTGGTTAGGTGGAAATTGTCACTTTGGGCCAAAAAGTTTGGGCTAGCACTGACGGTCCAAAGGTTTGCATTTTGTTGCCACTTTGGTCCAAAACCTTAACTGGCGTCACTTTTCTCCCGTTACCATCCATTTGACTTGTCAAAGGGAGGGTATTTTCATCATTTAATTAATAAAATCCTTTTACATATCTCCCACTTACCAACATATAGATAAAAGCATCGATCATACTCACATTTATAGTCCTAACTATATAGTTAGTCGTTTCCACTTCGATTGTCATTAACTGAGGATCAAGAACCCTAAGCCCATTTCCAGCTTGTGAGCTTCGATCAAGTGAGTTGATCAGTTAATGCAAATACCAATGTGGAATGTAAGGTTGTATGAGAAACAATTCAACACAAGGGTGGTTTATGGTACATATTTTTTAATTTGCTCACTAAGTTGCATTTTTATGTGAAATCCTCTCATCTGAAAATTGTTTTTTGTTCTTGTTTTGAAGATGGACACCCTACTCTGTTTACCATCAAGCTACGTCATTGGGGTGAGTTCACAAAGTTTCCAGATGTGAACTACATTGATGGAACTGTGACATACATTGACATGGTGGATATAGAAGAGTTTTCTGTTCATGAAATGGATGCCATCATGAAAGGGTTAGGATACTCAGTTCCTCCAGTTATCTATTATCATTTTCAGTTGCCCAAAAGAGACATGCATTTTGGACTACGTGCCCTAGGAAACGATGATGATGTTCGCAATCTTGCCTAATATGTGAAGGAGCATAAAGTCATAAGGGTGTACACTGAACACGGTATTACAAAATTGCTTACTTACTTTATGGCTCCTAAACCTGTTAAAAAGGTTACTATTGAGAAATTAGATGAAATTGAGGAACATGAAACCACCACAACTGATAACCAAGCTAGTGATAGGAAAAGGAGTTGGACTAAGGACAAATCTTTGTCATTATCCCCTGTTTTACATAATGAAGGTGCTTTATCATTATCACCTGTTTTACATAATGAATGTGCTTTCTCATTATCCCCTGGTATAATAGGAAAAGGAGTTGGACCAAAGTCAAAACTTTGTCATCATGCAGTAAGAAATTGGCCATAAATGATGTTGGTGAGTTAATTTAGGCGGTGATAAGGATTATCCACCTAATGATTTTGATAAGGCAGCTAATGAATTTGATCTTGGTTTGTACCAATAGATTTTACAATCTAATTCTGAATTTGATAATGGAGTCAATGAAGAGAAGGATTGGGAGGAGGTACTTAATGAATTTGATGAGGGAGTCAATGAATGGAAGGAAGGGGAAGAGGTAGTTAATGAAGTTAGTGATAATACAGATATGAGGGATTATGAGAAGGATACTAGAGTTGAAGATGATGTAGATATGCGGGGTTATCAGATGGATGTTGTAATTGAAGATGAAGTTACTCATGATGTAGATGAGGATAAAAGAAGTCATGGGGAGGAGGATAGTGATGAAAGAAGTGATGCGGAGGAAGATAGTGATGACAATGACTTTTGGGTAGATAAGGATAACATAATTCCTGAAGTAGAGGTAGATATGAAGGATTTTTACATGAGTGTTGATCTGGAAGCTGAATTTATGGAAAAGAGAGTAACAAATCCCATGCATAATGATAGTGATGAAGACCCTAAAGACCCTGAATATTTGGATGTTATTGATAATGACAAATGGGATTCAATGGATGAGGGTTCTGATATGGAAAGAAAAATGAGAGTTTTATTAAAAGAATTAGGGAAGGAGACAAGGTGCTCTCAAGGGGAGATACATAAAGTTAATTTTAGGATAGGACAAAAATATAAAAGTAAAAAGGAGTTAAAGGAAAAGATATAATTTCATGCATTGGAAATCGGGAGGAATATATTCTTCAAGAAAAACAACAAAAAAAGGTTAAGAGCTTTATGCAAAGGGACTGTAGCCTTTAATGAGGGTGATGTTGGTGAACCTACCCCTTGTCCTTGGGTGATACCAGGTTCTAGATTAAATAAAGATGGTAGTTGGATGATTAAAACATATAACCACGAACACAGCAACAACAGTCCAAGAGTTCAACCACTTGATGAATGAATTCAACTTATTTGACAACGATGCATATAATTAGTTGAAGCAGATCCCCCCACAACACTGGGCAAGAAGCCATTTCACGGGTAATTTCCAAATTTGCCCCTGAGGTGTATTACTTTGTCAGTACATTGTCTTGCTTACTACTTTCTTTGTTTTTGACAACATTTCAGGGAGAGGAATATCATATATACTTTTGAATAATCTTTGTGAAGTTTTCAACAACAAATTAAATGAAGGAATGGATAAGCCACTAATAACTTGCTTGGATTACATCAGGGAATACATGATGAAAAGAATCTGCAATGTCATCAAGGTGCAAAATAAGTGTGTAGGGCCACTAACTCCTTCTGCAACAAAGATTATGGACAAAAGTGTATATTTGGCATCTCAGTACACAACTAGGTGGAGTGGGTCAGACAAATACCAAGTTCAAGGGACATGGCTGGATCAACAGGTTGGTGACATGGCAGAATGGGTGTGTAGCTGCAGGAAGTGGGAATTAACTGGCCTCATGTAACACCCTATTTTTGGTATGTGATTTAAATAAAGTAATTTTCATTTCTTAAGGGGTACTCGACGAGTCAGTAGCCCGAACCATCGAGTAGAGACAGGATGTTCACGCTATTTGAGTTGGCTACTCGACGAGTCCATATGCTGGGACTCGGTGAGTCCTCCTGTCTGGATGAAGCCCTAATTTCAAGGGTTTGCACCATACTTAAACAACTTTTTCGCCGCAACCCAACCTCCCTCACCCTCAGAGCGTTCCTTATCAAACCCTAGCCTCCTTGAAGTGTGTGTGAGTGTTCTTTGCCTTGTGAAGGGACTTTTGGTGCATTTTGGAGCAAGTAGAGGAAGGAGAAGGATGAAGATCTCAAGGAAGAAGAAGTAGATCTAGAATACAATCCTTTGTGGCCATCTTTTCTGGTAATAAAGTTTCAATCTTGTTTATTGAGCTAATAGATCTAGTTTGTCCCCAAATTGTTGGTATTACGCTCAAAAACCCCAAATCCTTTATGATAAAGCCTTATGACCGAGTCATACTTCAGATCTAGCCTCTCTTGAGCTCCAGAAGCTCAAGGAGGTCACCTTTTTGATAGCCATGGCTTTGTTTTGGATTATTAACCCAATAACAGTAAAGTTTGAGTGTTATTGCTTCATTTCTTCTTGGTTACACGTAAAGTTAGCAACTTTACGTGTTCAGATAGTCTCGTGAGCTTAGATCTACGATTTAGTTGCACTAAAGTGGATTAGAATTGACTGTATGGAATCTGCATGCTTAGGACTCGGCGAGTTGTTCTTCAGACTCGACGAGTCGAGTCGCGAGTCCCCGTTTTTCCCCGATTTGAGGGTTTAGGTTGAATCAGTGAGTGGGGAAGGGACTCGGTGAGTTAGAGTCAGATCTAGTGATGAATGGACTTGGCAAGTCTACGCCCTGACTCGGCGAGTCCTGTCAACTGAAAGTTGACTTTGACCAGGGGTAAAATAGTTATTTTATCCTGAAGGCATTTATCAGTACCTGATCTAGTGTTTGATTTGTCATGATAGCCGTAGAGCAACTGGGACAGCATTCAGATATCTTTCACGTAGGTTTTCAGCAGTTAGTTCTATGAGGTGAGTTCTCTTCCAGTAAGAACGGGTCTACGGCCATAATACCGCCTCGTCTAGATAGCAGTAGTATGTATGCTTGATGTCTTTGTGATTCAAGCATGTGTTGCTATGTGTAGTATGTCGGCCAAGCCGATACAGTATGTGATTATGCTATATATTCTTGATATGATAGATCCAGTTTACTCCGGACTTCGGTCCTATTCCAGGTGGGGCCCAAGTTACTCCAGACTTCGGTCTGATGTTAGGCGGGGCCCGATGAAGTGGGCAGGGCCCAAGTTATTCCGGAATTTGGTCTGATGTCGGGCGGGGCCCGATGTAGTGGGCGGGGCCTAGTAAATTATTGTATGTGTTTATTATGTTGATAAATAGTATGTGGTAGTCTGTGGGAGCTCACTAAGCTTTGTGCTTACAGTTTCAGTTTTCGTTTCTGGTACTTCCGCTAGCAAGGGAAAGAGCTCGGGTTGATGGCATGACACACACCATAGTTGCAGTTTATTCCTAGGAGTTTTGCTCATATATTTTGATATGATAGTTACTTCAGTTTTGAATTGATACATTTTCTATGGCATTTTGAGACATATGATTTTTTATTATATAATATTTGATTTTATGGTTTTTGGTAATATTAAAACAAAAATTTTTAGGTTGTATTTTTGGGATGTTTCAAGTTGGTATCAGAGCCTTGATTTGAGGGATTCAGGCACGCTTGCAGGTTTGACTGGACTCAAACTAAGGAAAATGGTAAAAATATTTTCAAAAGGAAAATGTTTTAGAAAGAATTTTTGAAAAATAAATTTAAAAAGAAAAGAGTTTTTGAAAACGAAAAAAGGGTGTGGTGCATGCGATCAGCCGAGCACAAGTAAGTACTCCCAAATTACCCATACACTTTTATGTTATGATTATCAGTTTCAGTTTCGGTAGAACAGCATGCTAGAATTGGACTAAGGATCTAGGAATGATGCCTTATGTGCCTGCTTTATGTGTTTAAGCTTTATGATAATTGCATGCTAGAATTGAGTAGACAGTAGTAGGATGCCTTGTTTAGGTTATGCCTGATAGTATGAGCTTAGCATTGTATGCTAGTACAGTTTCTCGTTATGAGAATAGATTCGCTTGAGTAGTTCCTGTGTTCGAATGCTGCTTGCTTTGTGCTCTATGGGACTTTGGGTGATGGGAGTTAGCCATTAGGTGAATAAGTCACATCACATGTGATCAGGGTTGAATAATCTCAGAGTGCTGGATTTGGCCCTACTGCGCAACTCTTGTATGAGTCTAACCGTTATGGGGACGACTCTTTTACTTGAAGGATTATCCGAGCCTCATCACATGTGATAGTATTCATGTGATGGCTAATTGGCATTACAAGGAGGCCTTCAGTAGCTGAGGATTGGGTTGAGTTGGAGATATCCATAAGGTAAGCCTAGGATGAGAGTAGCAAAGGTCAATAGCAGTAGTAGTGACTTGGTGGAGTCGAGGCGGTTCTTGAGGAAAGTACGGATAGATGTGGAAGGTAGTATGGCCCCGTACTACTGGAAGCAGAGGATCCGTACTTGAATCAAGGAGGATCGAGGAAAGACCAGGAAACCTGTAGTAGTAAGCGATCCCTCGAGATATATCAGTGTTTCTGACGTTTAAATTGATGTGTTTTCAGAATGGTAGTTCTACGCCCTAGACCAGCAGGCGGCAGTTCAGGTGCCAGTGAGGGATCAGGATCAGGATCAGGCTCGGGGGCCGAGCATTTGGATGAACAGTCGATGATTGTTGACCCTTCATGAGAGAGTATGGATGTCGTACTTGGGCGAAGTACGATAGGTATTAATGGACAAGGCTCATAAGTCTCATTTCTCCATCTACCCAGGGGTGATAAAGATGTATAAAGATCTTCGACCCGATTATTGGTGGCCCTACATGAAGCAGAATGTAGCCTGGTACGTGAAAAGATGCCTGACCTGCAGGAAAGTCAAGGCAAATCACCAGAGGCCTAACGACAAGATGCATCCATTAGACATTCCCGTGTGGAAATGGGAGGATATCACTATGGACTTCATCACTAAGCTTC